CAAAAAAACAACAACGAATCATTAAATCTTGTTTTCAAATGTCACTAAATAGTGAAATAGCTACTGAAAGTTAACCATTACTAATTCGATCACTTTCGGATACAAACGTTTCTTCTAAGCATTAATAACTGGATTTTCAGATCTAATTTTACGAAAGAACTGCTTGCGATTCTGGAATTAACCAATTAGTGCGAGTATATGACAGCAACAGATTTAAAATACACTTGTTAAGAACTGTGTCCTTAAATAAATTACTCAATCCAAAAACCTTGATGCATGCTGAAAGTTTCGTTTTTTACGGAAATAGTTTTCGCCGAAAATTTAGGTAAAAGGTTTTAAATTAAGAAGACTTAGATTTCAATGGTAGGATTGATTACAAGTCGGGTTTGTTAGAGCAGTTTAAAAATTCCTCTTGTCATTAAAAAGCTCTAATGTCGTAATGTGTTACAGAAACAAATTAAAGTAATAAATGGTGAAAAATACGGAATTTTAAGGCACCAGTCAAAGGTGAGGTTATAAATGAGGTGACGATAAATGCGAGCTAACGAATGTTTTTTTTTTTTTATTTTAACCGAGGCTGAACGTTCTAGAAACGAAATAGGCCATATGTACACTTATTGTTTCTGATTATTATTAAATGCACTCATATACTACATACACGCAAATACTATTTCTAAAATATTCAGCACTGAAATTTCTCCAGAGGTTTCGACTACTTCACTGCCCATAGATACATATTCATTGAAATCGAATTCTAAATCTCGTTTTTTTAGTTCATAGTCTAAATTCGATAAAGGGATATTATCTCCACTTTCCTTCTCTTTAGGATTGGCTTCTGAAGAATTTATTTTGAAACATGAAGCAATTGGCAATAATTTTAGAAGAAATCATGTTTCAGCTTTTGGCTGCGTAGAAAATCGCTTCAAGCTATCAGGACTTGTATTCCTCTTTACTTGCTTTGGAAACATGAACTGTCCTGACTCGGAACAGGGAGCTTACTCAAGCTATGTTCAATAAATTGTGAAGTAGACAATACACACAGGAAGGGTATACAAAACCCTTTATTTTTCTATCTTTACAGCGATTTCCGGAACTTCGGAATACAGAGACCAACCACTTGTGGTCTGAACGTAAGAATATAAAAATACTATCTAAAAACTCTAACTAAAACTAACTTTGGATTAATATACAAGTGCCTAACATTAAGATTGGCCGTTATTTAACAAAAATCCGTATGTAGTACAGAGAGCTGCTAAACTAATTTAAAATTAAAGTCGAAATCGACACATTTTGTATCCTGGCATATTTTATCCAGGTGATCAGAACTTTCTTTATGTCTTCATAAAAAGACATTCATTGTCTTTTTTATTGTTATTATCGCAATCTATGACATCTTTTGATGAAAAAATGTCACTGAACGTTGTTTGAACTTATCAAAAGGACTAAACCTCTGGCCTTGAAGCCAACCAGCAACCGAGTAAAACTACTATGGCAAGCGGCCTGCTTCTAATAACTCCTTCCTCTATCTTGTTTGGCAAAAAGCCACAACTTAAGTACTTGACGTTCGCAAGACAAATTTGCATAAATAAGTTAAAGCTTTTAATTCTGGCCGGAAGTAGAAAATAAGAAGTGATAGTAAAGATTTAAAATAAAATAAACGTTAGTAAAACTTAGGATCCTTACAAAGCTATTAAGTAACGGAAAAGGACGATTTGTCATCAAAGGCAGTTTTAAAATCATTCATAAGAAGTTTCCTATAATTTAATTTAAAATTATAAACAATCCTCTGGATCACAGGTTGCAATACACTAGTCTCATCTGGTCGTAAATAGACCATTTTTATGATTTCTAAACGTTTTGCTCTGGTATGAGCTGTGCATTTAAAGCAAATAACTGTTTTTCTACCTTTCTGCGAGATTCTTGCGTCTAATTTCTTCATTGTCGTTTTCCATAGCTGCGAAGCTTTAGAGTTTCCAAACTTTGGAGCTGGTGTCATAGCTCATTGGCATTGGATCCCAGCAAATTCCAGCTCATTTGATCCCAGCAAAACAATCAATCTTTTCTTACACTTTTTCTCCCAATGCAATTTTCCTTTTTGAAAGAAAGCGTTTTGTCGGGCAAAATTCTGTAAACCAATCCGCAATCATCTACATTAAAAATGTCACTTGGTCCATAATGTTCTCATACTACTTTTATCACTCTGGTTTTCCATTCCAGAACAACCCCTGAATTAATGTCAGATGTTTCTTTGATTTCTTTGCACGATAAGTCATGCCTTATCTCATCTATTAATAGCTTCAAATTTTTCTTCTGCAAGTTCAGCAGTATTTTGAAGAATTTTTATTTAAAATTAAAGTCGAAATCGACACATTTTGTATCCTGGCATATTTTATCCAGGTGATCAGAACTTTCTTTATGTCTTCATAAAAAGACCTTCATTGTCTTTTTTATTGTTATTATCGCAATCTATGACATCTTTTGATGAAAAAATGTCACTGAACGTTGTTCGAGGAATTCCACAAACTTTTGAAAACAAATAAGTCAAATGTAGCTTTTAACAGATATGAATTTTCAAAGCCCTTGATAATTCTCTTTTTCTGCAAAAATTTTAAAATTTTACTCTTTGCTGGCTTTCTACTGAAAGATACGAGTATTCAAGTTTCCGCGTCAGACTTTGGAAAACCAGGTATAACTCACGAAAGTTCCAGCAAAACATGTGGGCCCATCTGTGTGTTTTCCTACAAATGCCGAGGGCACACATTGGTGTCCAGTTACTGTGCGAATGGGTGGGAGAAGAGAGGGAGACTGAGAATGTACTGTAAGGTATGGGTTTGGTATGCAAATGTATGGGTTGGTTTATTTTAACTACGGCAAAGAACTCTAGGGCTAACTGCCTAAGAGGAGAGATTGTTTTGGGGAGGATGTTCTAAGTGAAACTGGCTTATTGGAGAAACCACAATAACACCCATGCAGCCAGCCCGTTCGTCGGGATTAGAACCCCGGACCAAACTACTAGTGTTCAGCGACTATACCGCTGGACAGCTGCGGTACTGAGGTTGAAACAATCTCTAAATCCAAAGTGAAAATATTAACTTATTTTGTCTCTAAACAGCTTATCAGATTTTTTTTATCGATATTTTCCTGTTCAACTGATCTGAACTTTGCAGAACCGAGATTTAAAAGGTGTGACATTTTTAACGAGGGTTGAATGTGTATATATACATATATATATATATATATATATATATATATATATATATATACATTTAACACTCGTTAAAAATGTCACGCCTTTTAATATACATATATATACTCCTGAACACAAATTCAAAGTATATCTGTATAGTAAAGTAAATACTGAAAAAAATAAATGCAGTCATCACGTTTTTCTTAGAGGAGAGGTGAGAAATATGTGCATTGCCCTCACAGGGACTCGAACCCTGGACCTCTCGAATACACGTCGAGCATGCTTACACTTTCCCCACGAAAGGAGGTAGAAAATACCTTATATACTCCCCTTTTTAGAAGGCCACTTGGATTAGGAGATTCAGTCTCCAAACCTTTACTTCGGGCACCAGTTTTGAGTCATTTTATAATTTTTCGAAGTGGGGAAGCTAAAGAAATCCACAATGCCCTTCCCCTTCGTGTTTGGGCACCACTTGTAAAATTATTATTATTATTATTATTATTATTATTATTATTATTATTATTATTATTTATTATTATTGTTGTTGTTGTTGTTGTTGAAGCAGGAGACGTGAAAAATGTCCAACGCCCTCGCCGGCACTCGAACCCTGGATCTCTCGAATGCGCGTCGAGTATACTTCCTAATACATCAGGGTTTCTTTAACTGTGTGTCGCGACCCCTTGGGGGTCGCCAAAAATTTTAGCAGATTTGATATTTCTTATTATAATAATTTTACAACTACCAAATATTTTTACACAATATATCTGAAAACAGATAAAGATAATACAGTACAGGCAAAGAAAAAAACGAAAACATTTTAAAGCATTCTTTTTACAATATAAACGTTCATTTTACTTGCTTTGCACGTGAAGCTGTCATTTCGTCTTTTAGTTATTTAAACTTTTCACATTGTTCTATGTCTTAAAATTAGACATTAAAGTTAATGACCTAAAACTGCAATAGTATATTACAGTACAAGTGAAAAATTGACAATTTCATTCACGCATGTATCGGATTTGCACAATACTTATGGGGTCCCACAAAATTTTTGTAAGTATTATGGGGTCCTAGTGGTCGAGAAAAAATCTCAGTGATAAAAAGGGGTCGAGACTGAAAAAAGTTTTAAGAAACACTGTAACACATCAAGAAATCATGAAAGAAGGAGGGAGAAAATGTCTTATCATATTATATAAAAAAGATAATAAGGTAATAAAAGCGAATAATTGTCAGCAAACGTGAATAGAAGATACAACAATTAAATTGCAACGAAAATTTTAGTTAAAATGTTAGAACAAAGAACTAATCTTATATTTTAACTTTTCAATAGTTATTTGATGTCTTTTCGAATGTCTGGCGGATTTATTCATGTTTCGCAAGCCTAATGGTAATATTATACTGCTTCTACAAACTATTGTGTAGTTTTTGTTTTGTAATGCAGCATTAATTGATTTCAGGTATAGATCTGATCCAAGATTAGCATAGTTCTCTTAGCCTCTGGAGTACCATATATTCAACTTCAAATATACTTTTTAGAAGCATATCACCCTGCGAAATATCTCTTTACCTTTTCATAAATGTAAGATTAAAATTTGATCTCATACTATGCTTATGTAACGACAGTAATATAATTGCGACAAATGTAATTCGTTTACTTGCAAAATTTCCTGAACCTTTTTATGATGAAAATAACTCTATTATTTAATTAATGACGATGCTGTGAAAAGTGACATAGATTAGATTAATACTGAAGCTAGGATACTTTATTTAAGGTCCTTAAGTAGCTAACAATCAAAACGTTATTAATAAAACTCACCTAAAACAGTAAGTCGGGCTACTGATCTGATGGGCTTTTCATTTTTTCCGGGGCCAACCTAGGAAAATAAACAAAGAAATAAGTTTTTTTAGGAAATAATACAATTTTTTAAACTGTTTCCATAATAATAAAAGAGCCAAATTTACTCTTTCTTGAAAATTGCGTTATTAAGCGAATCACGTAACATCTATCAGCACGTACATGATAAACCATTAAATAAAATCGACTTATAGTAGAAGTACTAGGACAGCAAAAACTTCAGCATACATCTATTTAAAGCTGACATGTTTAATGACAGCAATTAAAGTTTAATTTCAAAAATATTATTTTCTTTGGTTATTTCTGTACTTTTGACTGACTTTTAATTATGTTGCAATTGCTAATTTTATGCCGACTGCGCAGTAATATACCACAAAATATCAGAACGCAATTCTAAAAGATTATTTTCTATTATATGGAAAAGTAATTATACTTATTACGTAAACGTAATTATAAGAGGTGTTTACAGAACATACAAATAAAGAAAATATTGTTGAATCGCTAAAAACGTTCTGGCTGCTTCGGAAGAACACCATGAACATTTATTTTGTACAAAACCGAAACTCTGTTAATATCAATGGTCTTCTAACTTCAAGTACCGTCAGTGCAAAACAGAGCTGTGTTAGAGACCAAGTTTGCCAGCTACTCATTTGCTTTGGTTTCACTAAACAAAGGTTTGATAGAACAACACTAGTCTGCGAAGGGAAGTTTATTATTTAATTAAAACTCTGCATTATGCTGGGGATGAAGCCAAACATTGCAGCCTCGCTTAGTAACATCTTGCAAGTATCATATCTCGTATAATGTCTGTAAAAATCGAGCAACAATATGCAACGGACGCATTCAGACAGTTTAACATTGTTAAATAGAGTTTGGTAGCGATGGCAATGCCTTACAAAAGCATCTGTTAAAAGTTTACTACATATTAATTACACCCTAAACGTACCACCAATTTATACAAGCAGATCTTTGTCTCGACTGAGGACTAACAGGTTAACTCTCTCTCATGCAAGCTTCATGTTGATTTAAACGCCTTCCTTCTTTCCTTCTTCGGCGAAACCATCAGGCCACGTGTCGTTAAGGCGGTATGAAACTAGACAAGCAAGCTTTCCGTATACCAGTTGTCAGTTGACAAATTATCTCAATACTAATTTTCGCTATTTAAGACCACGGTCTTCATATGCTATCGATCACAGTACTGCTGGGCACGCTTTATCTTTCTGCTAGCCTGTCGAGTGTTTGATGGTTTCCATAGCGGAAACAGGTCATGAATTGGGACGATCTTCAAGACTGATATTGCCATAACGACAGCGCATGCACCAAATTCTTGCCCTATTTTTCTTATAGTCCTTCCATCGAATATGGTGTTAACGCAATGAATCGACATAACAGTATTTAACTCCGATGAAAACTGATAAATAGACCGTCGCTAACAAAGGTCCTTTTAAAATTCAGAAAGGACCACAGACATTAAAACATGCACTTCTTCTGAACGCCCATTCGTGTTATTTCATGGTTTCGTTTATATATCTCTATAGAAGAAATTCTGAGAATTTATAGGAAGATATTTCTGCCAAGTTTTAAAACCATCATAATGTTCCCATCAATCTAATTCATCAACAAATAACAGATTAAAGTTGCTCTATGATAGTATTTAGTATAGTGACTTTTTTCTAGCCTAGAAAAGCACCAGATAAGATCCAAAAAACAAATAGCAATCAAAAATAAAAGAATAAATGTGCCACATATGCCTCTTTGTATCAAGTCCCTTAGCAAAATTAAAACAAGCAATACATAAAGAATCCTTAAATCAGAAAACACCGTAAAAACTAGAGTACAGAAGTAGTAAGTCAGATGCAAGATACAAGTGAAAATAAAAATGAAAAATAAGAAACACAAAAGGATATTGATTAGGTTTGTCTTTTATTTTTTATACTTATTTTTGTTTGTGCCTTGCATTTGACTTACTGCTAGTGCACTGCAATTTTTTGTGGTGTTATCTGATTTAAGGATTCCTCATGCATTGCAGGTCTTAATTGTGTTACGGCGCTTCGTGCATAATGGCATAAGTGATAGTTTTCTTATTTATTTATTTTACTTTTTCTCTTGTTCCCTCTTTCATCAGTTTTACTCTTATTTGAAAACTTTTAGTCTTCTGTGCACGAGGTATAAAACAAGTCTTTTAAGAAAGAACAGCTTTAAGCGTGTTTTCAAAGAGCTTTATCTTTTCCATTAGTTATTATACTATATACATATATATATAATACATAGTAAGATTATCATCCTGGAATAAAAGACTATTGTAATAAAAAATTTTATAATACCATGACGATTTTAGTCAGTTGAAAATACAGTACATAGGTATTTAGGTGTATTCATGGCATAATTGTTGTCAATAATTTTGAGGCGATAGAAAAATTCCCTTCTTGCTTATTTAATTAAAACTCAATTGTTAATTTTCAATTGCTAATTTTGCTGAATAAGGCCAATACAAATCCAAAAAAATAGAATATCCGGATCTACTAATCATGAACTACAACAAAAATAAACTTTACGATAACAGATGAGATTTTAAATTTACCACATTATTTAAATTAATTAAGAGGCAAAAAGTCTGAAAATATCATTGGTAACTAGGATAAAAAATATTTGCACGGAAGTTTCTTACTTACTAGATGAAATAATTTTAATTGAAAATAAAATTCCCACTGAAATTATTAACTTTTTTCTTTAAAAAAAACTGGTGTTATTTATCAAATTTAATCTTTAATCTAACTATGTACAAATGACTTATAAGCATTAGTACATAGATCGCATTTCATAGATCATTAGATCCTAGATCGTAGTACATAGGTATTTTAATACATACATCGTAGTACATACATTAGTACATAGATCGTAAAGTTTATTTTACATTTATAATGTAAAATAACGATTTATTTTACATTGAGATTTCAAATTTACCACATTATTTAAACTAATTAAGAGATTAATTATTCATTTAATATTTAAACTAACTATGTACTAATAACTTATCTTAACCTGATAAGAAGGGTGAAGCGAGACGTGTATATTAGTATTAGAAATTTTTAAATTTTGTGATTTAATTTTTAATTAATGTAATAAAATTTTACTGCTGAACAAATTTATTCCTACATAAATTACTGTATTATTCCTATATAAATTACTGTACGAAAATAGCTTTTATTAATAAGTAGACGTATTTTCATAAAAATTTCAATAATAGTCAATATTGAATGAAGACTTTTTACTATTCGCTTATTATTTTCCTGTTTCTTTGAGATTTTTCAGAAAAAATTACGTTTAAAAATATTTTAGTATTTCTCAGCTTTTTTGCATTTCAACCATTTTCAAATTTCCTACCTCGAGTTTCTTAGATGGCACTTTCTAGCCAATTTTAAACCCCCATTTTTAACACTTGACTTTCCTTTATTGCCTAATGACCAATCAACAGCATACTTTATTAAGAATTTTTATCGCCAGTTTGCACCTACACATAGAAGACTAGGATTTAATACGTCAATTAGAGTTCCCCTCGCTAGTTTGCAATTTTAGATCTCTTTAGCATATCAGCTTAAAAAATTCACTCTATTTTAACTTTAAGAATGATGTTTTACTACTAGAAGTTTTTCACAAAAAATGGCTAAAACAACAATTGGTGAAAGCAACAAATGGTTAAAGCAAGGACTTGAATTAATATTGAATTTAGATATTTTATTAAACCTTTAAAAGGAATTTCACTCAGTCAGTCTCGGGAGGCGAACGTGATTCGGATTTCATTGATGATTGTATCGAAAAAGGATAACACCCCTCGAAAAGTCAGATTATTTTCCTGGAATCATTAATTATTAATATACTTTTTCATACTGCATTTTTAACTGACCATTCTATTACAAGAGTTTTTTTTTTCATTAAAATAGACCATTTTTTCAACTTTCTCCGGAATGATGGATTTTATCATTTATTAAATGTAATTAATCTTATTTATGTTAGGTACAGATTTTTAGCTCTGAAGTGCTATTTTGCATAATTTAGTTTTATTTGAAATACACACAGATATATAACTATATATATATAATTATGGATTAAAAACGTAATTAATTTTGAACTCACTTTTCAAAGCCGTGAACGAAAATAAGCTTAAATTTAATTCCCTTTTGAATTTTTTTAATAAAAAATGTTAGTTTTAGTAATGAAAAAGTTTTTCAAACTAGAATTAAATTTGAAATTATTTAAATTATTTATTCCTTTTATGTTTGGAAAGGTGGGCTCAATATGTACATATACATATATATAAATATATAGATATAGGCTTTGACTCTAATTTACTTTTGACTTTAAATACTTTAAGTTTATTGTACTTCAATCCTGCAGCGCAGCTATAGCACAGGACGGGTGTAAAAAATTGTTTTTAATTTTTAGCCTCGTATTATGTTTCTTATGTATATATATATATAATTTTGACCAAAATTGGTCTTTTTGTATTGTTCTTACAATTTTACTTTATATATATATATATATATATATATATATTTCTATTGCTTTTAAATATTAGTTAAAAATTACCAGTTTGTAAATTTATGTAGACTTCAAATTTTAATTTTTAATTTTTTTTGTTGGCAATTACTATTAGTTTTACTTTGAAATATAGAAACCATAATAGGAGTATTCTTTTATACTCATATGATTATATATATATGCATGCGCATTAGAATTACACATTTTAAAATATTATATTAATAGTTTGCGTACTATGAAAACTGGCATCATCAAATCAACATTTGAATCTGACATAAACTAAAATCAATTGAAAATTAATTGGGCTCAACTTTCAGTGTAAAATGAAAACTGAAAATCTATCTAGAGTACTGTAACATTAATGGCCTTATGTAACAAAAAATATGTGTGACACGTATAACCTATGCAATTAGCATAAATATTATTTAATCACGTTAGAGATCAAATAGCATACATTTCAAGAAACGGCGCCTAAAATTCCAAACATGTTATCTTACAATTTTTATTAGATTATCTATATATGGGTATACTTATAGGGGTTTATTTTAATGTTCTAATAGTTATTTTAAATTTTAAACAAGTCTTTTCTTCCCTTCTTGTTTCCCACCTATGTTTCCCTACCAGAATGAGTTTTAAGATTACGTTATATGTAGTAAATGAGGTACAAACGAGTATTTAAGATGAAGTGTGGATCACTTCACTAGAAGAGTCTCGTATAGAGTAGCAGAGTTAGGAGAATGTATTCTGCCTTCCGGCCACATTGTTTCTAATAGTCTAATCTTTCTGTTATTCGGCTGTATTGTTTCATGTCGGCTAGTATCCGCTGGTGATCTTCAATAAGGGCCAACTCTATTAATTAATTCCGTGCAGCTTTGGTGGGTTTTAGTTTAGTTAGTATTAGAGTAGTTTTCATTTTCTATCTTGAGTTAAAGCTAAAATGGAGGTTTATTGTAAGCCTGAGAAGGGGCCATCTGTTCATTTATATTGAGTTGGAATAACGGGTAAATTTAACACGTCTTTGGACTTCTTACTGACCAGAACTCTGCGATACGTCGCTACACAATAGTCTAGCCCTGAAGAACTTCCAATTTAGCTAGGGTATTACGTACTGATGATTACTTTGTTGGAGGTGTACAGAGAAAAGTCGTGCGGACGAAATAAATCCTCAGGTTATGACTATAGTTAATAAAAGTGGATATAATGATAGACAGAATTGAAGCTGTTTAACACTGCATAAAGAATAACTTTTATGAAATGCAATTTCTGCTTAATCTTGAAGTTGTAGACAAACGATTCACTGCTGCATAAATGTAATTATTTAATAGGAAACAAAGTTAATCATTTATAGAAATTTTATATATAAGTAGTAACTACGGATTTCTGAAGATATATACCTGAGTTCATTCCGGAACAGGTATTATTAGGCAAATATTTCATACAATCAAGCAGGACTAAAAATATCTTTGAAGGAGACAGAATAGAAAAGATTTTAAATTAGCTACTACGTGCATATCTAATAGTTGCCATCTTTAAAATAAAGAAGTTTTAGGAACAGAATCCAGTGCAGAACGCTTACACAATGTCAAAGGAGGCAAACTGATATCATGTAACAAAACTCCAAATTGTTGAATAAATACATAAAGTTAAAAACAAATTACTTATATGCTTTTAAATTAAAATGATAATACATATGCCAGTTTGCAGAAAACATTTTCTAGATATGCGATTTTATATTTCTAATGTCGCTAAGTAATTTCGCCTTATATAAATAGCTAAATTAAGAATCTTTTATTTTTCTTTCCTTAAGAAATCCGTTGCCCATCCAGCACTGCTGTCTTAAGTAATCATGATGACAGCTGCAGCTGCAGTGGAAAAAAAAGAAAAATGAGAAATAAGGCTTTTTCAGTACTTTTTTTCCAAGGAAACATGAAAACGTAGAAAATTCAGAAAAACGAAAAGAATGATGAAACCCCATATAAAATGTCGACAATTTTTATTTTGCTTTATTTCGCTAAAGAAGACATTTTCCGTTTTGTTTACGCACATGTTTTTGAAAAAAATATGTCTAATTTCCTGAAATCTTTCAAGTTTGGAGAGTGCCTTCCATTAATTTAAAAAATTATTCCTAAACTAGAGTAATAATAGAAACGACTAATACGTTTTCGAAATTTATTCAAAATCTTTTGCATTATCATAGCGAAACAAAACAACAATACATGAAGTATATTAATATTTTTCATATTTTGTTGTATTTACCAGTAATTGGGTTTAGTGGGAATGAAGTATTTCAAAAGAAAAATATCCATGTTACAAAAAAAGATAATTAATGGCGAAATATAAGTAGTGATCATGTATCTTAACTGAAAAGGTTTGCGTGAATGTGAATTTATAAATTTGACATAAAATTTATTATAGAAAGAAAAGTATTTTGCGTCATACAATACTTAATGAAATACTTTAAAAATATTTACTTGGCACTGGAACTCCGCTTCATCATCAAGCTGAGCTTTATGCACTAATAATGTATACGCTGATTTGGAATGATCCACTCTCATTTCGTACCTTTCGTATCCTGGGATATCCGGGTCATAACCTGAAATAAACACCAAAATGGTATATAGAAGCAATAAAACAGTAGAAATTTTGATTTTAGCAATCTGCCGAATTTTTTATCTCAGAAAATTGAATGGAAAACCCATACTTGTATTCAATAACAGGCCATCGTAGAAAATTTTATTTCTTATTGACCACATTTTACCTGTACATTTTCAGATTTACGAAGAAAAATTTTTATTTACTTACATTTCCTACAGGTGTTAAGAATCCGAAATTTTACAGTCATTCATTCTAAGCATTTGTTGTTAAAATAATTATTTGATTATAATTGTGTAGTTAAGTTTAAAAATTTCCAGATTTTATTACTTAAAAATTCAAGGTACAAATTATAAATTTCTAATGAGTTATTAGAACTTATAAACTTAATAAAATTAAAGCAGGTTTATATTTTTTTAAAACATTTTTCATTAAATTTTAAAGCTTACTGAATAAGCTACAGATTAGTGTCTATATTCGCAAATACGAAGCATGGACCATACTCTAAATAACTATGCTAATTTAATAGGGATTAGAGATATTAAAGAAGAGCTTGATTGATATTAAAGCAAAAAAATTACAAAAGCGGCAATTCATGGTAACTCAGAAAATATGTAAATGATATAACATAACAAGATTAATTATTAAGTTTTTACTTTCTCTTGCCAGACATTTAAAACTTGAAATAATACATGGTACGCAAATAGATATGTTTATATAAAACAGTAAAACAAAGTTTTCTTTAAACATATTTATGTTTAAACAAATATAAAATCTTCCTTCACGTGAGAAGGAGTTCCATTTCATTATTAGAATGCTTGAAAATTCGAAATAATTTTCGCAAACTATTTCACAGTTTATTAATAAGAGCTATAAAGTCAAAGCAGTCATAGTGAAAATTTACTCCAAACGGTCCAGGACACATGCTTATTAAATTGATTTTAATGTTGGATTTATATTTTCTTAATGTTGTTATTTTCCATTGCTTTCTGGACTTTTGAATTTTTTGCTTGATTAAGGACAATATTAATTTATTATTAAAAGCTTTTTATCCCTGCCAACTGAAAATATCAACAGTAGTATAATAATACCCACAGTGTCTCTTACCGCTTTTCCGGAAGTCTGTGGGCCTTCTCGAAAAACTGAAAACTATGTATGTTTTGAAGTGCTTCATTTTTGAAACTTGGAAGGGCGATGCAGGTCACTAATTTTTGTAAGTCCTGCAGAGTTACCAATTGTTTTCGAAGTAGCTCAAAACCTGTTATATGATTTAAATGATATACAGCTGATTTCAATAAGAATAATGATCCACGCTATTTTTTTACTTCTTTTTTTAAGATCAAGATAAAAGAACTAAGTTCATGAATGATACTATAAACTCAGGCACGTAAAATTTCATTTTTATCAAAAGGAAAAGCAAGGACAGACAGTTTTATAATTATGTTATCTTTGAGCATATTCATGCAAATTAACTATAATTTGTATGATCGTAAATTTCGTATTTATGACTCACTTTATTTTATACGACGATATTTTATACTACGATGTTTTATAACTGCCGTTTTCTTTTCTCCGATGATATTCTGCGTGACGATGATTTTCCTCGTATTGTTTTCTCCGCGGTATTTTCCATATAAGTAGTTAGCTGATAGAGGTTAAGGAGCTATGGAGTTGGAATAAAGGTCTATGCGCTACATCAATAAGGAATGCCTTTAAACTACTTTCTAAGCATAGACGTACGACGCATTTCACTCGAAATACATCATATTACCTCTATCTTACCTGTTCAGAAACAATAAGCTTGAATAAAGTTTGGCAGTAAGTCATGTAATAAGTAGCGAACGCGTGCTAACATTTTCCAGTAAAGTTAAATAAATGCTTAAACCTAGAAATGGCTCTTAGCACAAGTTCGTTGAAAAGAGTAAGCATGGTCAACAATACGAATAGTGAGTGTTTAGAAATGGTTACAAAACTAAATAACGTTTCAGAGTTTAGCCTATAAGGCATTTCTTCCCCCTTCCTAGCATGCCTTCGTGGTGTAGAGGTCAGCCCACTGAGCCGGTATTTCAGAGGTCCGTGGTTCGATTCCCGAAGGCGCCCGAACTAAAAGGGTGTTGGATGAGGATTTTCCACACCCAGGATTTGGCGATTGGGTCCTCTAAAAGCACAGTGGCCCTTTAAAAAGGGGTGTATATAAGGTATTTCTCCCACTTTCCTAGCATGTCTTCGTGGTGTAGTGGTTCTGCAAACTGGGCTTGTATTCCAGAAATCCGTGGATCGATTCCCGGCGAAGGCGATTGTTAATTTTTCATTTTGCCTAATGTCTCTAAAAGCCTTGGTCCCACATTTTCAGTTTGAGAAATGAGACAAGTTAGGTAGGCTTTCTGACAGCGAACAATTCAGTCACTTGACATCTATTAGTAAAGATATAAGAAATGTAAATTTGTATACGGGATATACGAGAAAGCAGTTCTAATTAGTAATTTGTTTTTTTATCCTTTCAGAGATGATTTAGGGACAAAAATGACTTGTAGTAAGGAAATTTGACTCCGAAAAACTTTATTATATTTCAGGAATACGAATTTGCGAAAATTATAGAGCTTATATCATTATGATTCGGTTTGAAATACTAAATTCAGGAAACACACAATATTAAATTTTACTAAGTACAGCATTTTGAATCTTAGAAATCTTTAGAAATTTGCATTGCTTTCGAAATTTGAACAAAAGCAATTGTATATTTGAATATATCAATATTTCAGGCTTTGATTGTACTGTATATAAAATTTACATGCTTATAGAAGAACACACGCTCCATATTTTACGGTGTTTAAAATTATCACAGATTATAGCCCACCAGCAGCCGAGCGGTAAAGTCGCTGAACACTGGTAGTTTGGTCCGAGGTTCGAATCTCGCGAACGGGCTGGCTGCATGGGCGTATTTGTGGTTCCCCATGTGTAACGTGTATACGAGCCAGTTTCCCTTAGAAAGTCCTCCAAGAAGGCATCCCTCCCCTTAGGCAGATAGCCCTCGAGGCTCGAAGGAGTGTTCTTTGAACGTTTTGTATGTTACCTTTATTTAATAAATATCGTGTTTTTCGCACTCAAACCATAAAATTAAAATATCACAAAATAATTTTAAAATGAGTATATGTTTAGAATTTCTATTACATAGTCTCGCGCGTTTCAGATAAAAGTGGTTTTTTTTCATACAGTGTTGCCATTGCTCGCTTTGAAATCGTTGTTGTTGTTGTTGTTGTTGTTGTAATTAATTATGGCAAAGCACACGAGGGCTATCTGCCTAAAGGGAGGGATGCCTTCGTGGAGGACTTTCTAAGGGAAACTGGCTCGTATACACGTTACACATGGGGAAAACCACGAAAACACCCATGCAGCCAGCCCGTTCGCGGGATTCGAACCTCGGACCGAACTACCAGTGTTCAGCGACTTTACCGCTCGGCCGCTGGTTGGCCTTGAAATCGTTGAGTTTGTTAATCAAAAGTTAATGTGTTACAAATATGATATAAAACAAATTCCAAATCAGAGCTTCCAGATGCTCATATTCGGTACAGGATTACGTTATTCAAAATTTGATGGCTCCAAGTACCGCTGTTTTATCACAATGCGAGAAACCTGCATACATGTATGCTGATTCTTCATTATTTAATTTCTTTAACACAGAGCGATAACATTTGGTGGCAACAATTTGAAGAGTGAAATGGACATTTAAAGTTTTCGATGCAAAATACCAAAATGAAATTAATGGCACTTCTAGGTTAATGCCTTTTGGGCTAAAAGTAATATGTAAAATTAATACTAACGTGATGGAAGTATGATAAAACATTATAACAATATGTGTAAAGTAATCATACATCGATAAAATGCAATATAATAATGCAATGGCATATAAAAAGGTAATAATGCAATAATATGTAAAAATAATAGCACTAAAACTTTAAACAACAAATAAACTTGCGCAAGCTACCAAAAGTTTCAGAACTCCTTACTAGGTTAGAAGAAACAACAGGCCAGCAAACAGAGAGATGCCGTTAAATGTAGCTCTAGCACTCTCATGGAACCTACGTTGCTATAAGATATACTGAACATTTTCTACAGTATCGCCGCAATCATAAAGTCCACTTGTCATAATATTAAAGTTAAAAAGTTAGTTTCAAAATACTAATGAGCAGTCAAAATATTAGTTAGCTTAAATCTCAGTTGAATATGCTTACTTTTAAGATGTTAAAAAACCGTTGGAAAAAAACATTTTCTACACGAGGCCTTTGAAGAAGCAAGGTATTCAGTATTGCAGTTAACAACAGTTTTATCCCATGCAACATGCAATAAGACTTAGAAACAAACATCATCAATATCACAATAAGCCGCTTGTTTAGCCAATTGGTTAGTCCTTTCATTACCGAGAATACCACTGTGGCCTCAGACGTACTAAAATTAATATCTGCAGTTTGTTCGAACGTACATACTATGAATTTTCCCCTCCAGTTTTACTGTGATAGTATATTCCGTAGATGAAAGAAAAACATTAAAATCACTGGGTGTTTGTGACATTTAATTTTATTATAATTATTTTCATCAAAAGTTTCGCTTTAATAACTTAAAGACTCTTCAAAGTTATTTTTTTAATATTAAAGCAGTCATGACATCGTAAACTGATTTTGTATACCCGAAGCTAATACAGCTAACAGACAGATCTTTAAAATGAGTAAAAATGGAAAGTCCTTTCATTAAGACAATAAACACTTCCTAATTCATCTGATTTTAATTTATCTTAACTTATCTATTTATTTCTTTTTTTTATCGGAATACAGAATTTGAATTGTTTACTTCGCTTATAGATTCCTCAAAGCGATTTGAAATACTTGACTTTATTGAATTTGACTCCCCAGAAATTAGATTTTACGCTGTGTTGTAAAATATTGAGTATTTTTAACGATAGGCACCACAAACATTCCAAGACAATATCAAAACATTAGATTTATGACA